CAATGAACACATGAATAAGAAAGCAAAACAGTCTTCTTGCTTATATGGAGAAAGTTCTAGGTGTCTGGATAGGAGACCAAACCAGCCACAACATACCCTTAAGCCAAAGCCTTGGATTACCATGGCAAGGCCCCAACTCTCTTCAGTCTTACCAAGGTTAAGTGAGGAAGCTGTTTTAAGAAAAGAAGCCATCTCCATAACATAAAGTGCAAAGTGAAACACCAAATGCTGAAATAGAAGCTGCCAAAAGTTATCCAGAAGATTTAGCTAAGATCACTGATGAAGGTGGCTACACTAAACATGTTTTCAGTGTAGATGAAACAGCACTATATTCAAATGAGATGCCATATAGTACTTCATAGCAAAAGGCAAAAGTAATTCAATGCCTGGTTTCAAAGGACGGGCTGACTCTCTTGTTAGGGGATAATGTAGCTGGTGACTTTAAGTTTAAGCCAGTGCTTAATTACCATTCCAAAAACCTTAGGGCCCTTAAGAATGATGCTAAATCTACTCCGTCTCTGCTCTAGAAATGGAACAGCAAAGCCTGGATGACAGCACATCTATTTATAGAATAATTTACTGAGTATTTTAAGCCCATTGTTGAGACCTACTATTCAGAGAACAAGATTTCTTTCAAAAAATTGCTGCTCACCGACAATGTGCCTGGACATTGAGGAGCTCTGAGATGAACAAGAAGTAATTTTGACTTTTTAGTCTTACTGTTTAAGAAATACACTTCAGGCTGGGCGTGGTGGCTCAAGCCTGTAATCCCAGCACTTTGGGAGGCCGAGGTGGGTGGATCACGAGGTCAAGAGATTGAGACCATCCTGGTCAACATGGTGAAACCCTGTCTCTACTGAAAGTACAAAAAATTAGCTGGGCATGGTGGCACGTGCCTGTAATCCCAGCTACTCAGGAGGCTGAGGCAGGAGAATTACCTGAACCCAGGAGGTGGAGGTTGCGGTGAGCCGAGATCACGCCATTGCACTCCAGCCTGGGTAACAAGAGCGAAACTCCGTCTCAAAAAAAAATAATAATAATAAAAATATATTTTAAAAAAAAGAAATACACTTCATATGGCTATTGCTGCTGAGATGGTCAAAAACCAACATTAACAGCAGTTTGAAAGGAGTTATTTCAACCCTCATGGATGACTCTGAGGGGTGAAGACTTCAGTGGAGGAAGTTGCTGCAGATGTGGTGAGAATAACAAGATAACTTGATTTTGAAGTGGAGCTTAAAGATGTGACTGAATTGCTGCAATTTCATGATAAAACTCAAATGAATGACGAGTTGCTTGCTGTGGATGAACAAAAAAAGTGGTTTTTTGAGATGGAATCTACTCCTGGTGAAGATGTTGTGACACTGTTGAAGTGTCAACAAAGGATTTAGAATATTATATAAACTGGCTGGGCTCAGTGGCTCATGCTTATAACCCCAGCATTTTAGGAGGCTTCGGCAGGCAGATCACTTGAGGTCAGGAGTTTGAGACCAGCCTGGCCAACATGGCGAGACCCCATCTCTACAAAAACAGAAAAATTAGCCAGCTATGGTGGCATGTGCTACTCAGGAGGCTGAGGCAGGAGAATTTCTTGAACCCAGGAGGCGGAGGTTGCAGTGAGCTGAGATTGCACCACTGTATTCCAGCCTGGGCCACAGAGTGAGACTCTGTGCCAAAAAAAAAAAACAAAAAACAAACCCCAAAAATATTACATAACCTTAGCTGGTAAAGCGGCAGCAGGGTTTGAGAGGACCAAGCCCGATACTGGAAGAAGTATTGTGAGTAAAATGCTACCAAACAGCTTTACATGCTACTGAAAAATCTTTCATGAAAGGAAGCAGCAGCTGATGGGGCAAACTTCCTTGCTATCTTACTTAAAGATACTGCCACAGATACACAATGTTTAGCAACTACCACCTTGATCAGTCAGCAGCCATCCACATGGAGGCAAGGCCCTCCAGCAAAAATGATTACAACTCTCTGAAGGCTGAGATCATCGTCAGCATTTTTTAGCAATACGGTGTTTTAAAATTAAGTTATGTACATTGTTTTTTTAGAAACAGTACTGTTGCACACTTTTTTTTTTTAACACATCTTATTTTATTCAGATAGCAGTCTGATCACACGTGGTCCAACAACACTCAAATAATAAATCAAATTTAATCAGATGTTAAAAAGATTGGTCTTCAAACATCATAGCCAATGATGCCACGCTTGCCTATGATCTCTCCGACATAAAACCACATCAACACCTCAGTGGCCACCAAACCATTCAGTACAGCTTCCTTAACTGTGAGTTGTTTGAAGCTACCAGTCTGAGCACTATTGACTATTTCTTTCAGGCTCTGAATAGCTCTAGGGATCTCAGCAGGTGTGGGAGGAATCAGCTCAACCTTGGCGTAGTACCAAAATGTGGCCAACTGAGGCTTCGAATAAGTCACAGCAGCGTTCACCAGCGCCGGGGTCTTCTCCACAAGGTTACGGATAAATTGGGCCATGGTTCTGGGATGGACAGTCCGTCGCCCCGAACGGCCGGCTGAATGTCTGTTGCACACTTAATAGACTATAGTATTATGTAAACATAACTTTTTTTTTCCTTTTCTTTTTGAGATGGGGTCTCGCTATGCTGCCCAGGCTGGAGTGCAGTGGCCATTCACAGGCGCGATCCCACTACTGATCAGCACGGGAGTTTTGACCTGCTCTGTTTCCGACCTGGGTCGGTTCACCCCTCCTTAGGCAACCTAGTGGTCCCCTGCTCTGGGAAGGTCACCATACTGATGCTGAACTTAGTGTGGACACACAATCAGCATAGTGCCCTACAGCCCAGAACTCCTGGGCTCAAGCGATCCTCCCACCTAAGCCTCCCAAGTAGATGGGACTACAGGCATGTGCCACCGCACCCAATGTAAACATAACTTTTACGTGCACTGGGAAACGAAAAAATTCTTGTGACTTGCTTCACTGCGCTGGTCTGGAACTGAACCTGCACCATCTCTGAGGTATGCCTCTATTAGACCTTGGGTAAAGTGGAGGGCTGAAAGAAGCCTTACCAAGAACTTTCAAAGGAGTGAGAACTATTTTCCTAAGAGAAGCCTCAGGATAGCAATTAAGAAATCAAGAAAAAAGCAAAGCACTGAAAATCTCCTGATATTCCCTACTGAGGGAACAACCAACCACAACAAGGAATTGGTTTCTTGTGGAATGTGGCCAGAGTGCAAAATACCGCAAGTGTGCAGTCTGTAATGACAGTATTAGCCAGAGTAGCACGAAGAGAAATGTGGAAAAAAAAAAAAAGACTCTGTTCTGTACCTACATGTATAGCTTCAGCAGTCTTAAAAGAGGCAGTAACAAGTCAGTCTTTCTTGTGAGCCTCCATGAGTGAGCTAATTCTAGGACCTTCTACTACTTGCAAAAGAGAAAGCACACAATACTCAGGTCTAGCCAGAAGAATATGCTGAACTTAGCAATGATGTGTTAATTCTACCTCCATATTGTAGCTCTTGACTGTGGCACTAATACAGTATTTTTTCTTTTGAGACAGGGTCTCACTTTGTTGCCCGGACTGGCATGCAGTGACACCATCACAGCTCACTGCAGCTTTGACCGCCTAGCCAAAGCAATCCTCTCACCTTAGCCTCCCAAGTAGCTGGAACTACAGGCACATGCCACATGCCTGGCTCACTTTTTTTTTGTCGAGACAGGGTCTTCATATCCTGCCTAGGCTGGTCTTGAATTCTTCAACTGCAGTCTTGACACCCCTGCCGCCGCCACGCTAAAGTGATCTTTTTACCTAGGCCTCTCAATGTGCTAGGATTATAGACATGAGTCACCATGCCCAACTCCAGATGGTATGCTTAATTCAGGTCACAATGTGCCCTCATCAGATTGCTAGTGGCCAGGAGTAAACAACTGCATAACTTTAGGAATTAGGAGACCAGGAATATGTTCCTAGAAAGTGAAGGTAAGTGGAAAACCTGGGTTGGATTATGAACAAGGCCCACATGTGTGCCAGAGTGGTCAGGGCAGGGAGCAGCAGCAGGTGCTAGTGAAAGGAAGGTGGATTACTGGGGCAATGCCCTGTCTTTGTGTCTATGGTTTCTTTGAGGGAAGTAAGTAAGTTTCAAGTAGCTGCTCTAGGTCAAGGTGGGGATAGGCACCAGGCACCTCTTGGTTAAGGTAGGAAGAGCAGCATCTCATGGAATGGTCTGAACAGAAGCCATACTTGTGTTTTGGGTCATACTCCCTACCCAGGATCTGGGGCAAGAGAACCCAAGATACTGGGTGTATCCCCTGCACACCCAGTAAGTGGTAATGTGACTGACTCTATTCCTCCAGTGGCAACTTGTCCAAATACAGAGCTGAGAGATCTGCAGTCTAGTGAACTGGAAGACCACACATTCTGAAATGTCTGCTTTCTAGTTTTTCTCTGCTGCAGCTATAAAACAAAGAAGAAAAGATAAAACTCAGTGTCATGCCTGCTTTTGCTCAGGTATGAGGTGTCTCTTGGAGCAGAACTGAATGCCCCTCTCAGCCATGCCCTCCTCTGGCCTTTTATCCCTCAGCTGACTGCCTCTACACTCCATCTCTCAACTCATCAGGGTCATTAAAGTTGAGTGTGCATCAGAAACACTTTGAGGGGTTAAAACTTAGATTGCTGAGCTCCATCCTAAATCTCTGATTCAGTAGGTCTGGAGCAGGGCCTGATATCATGCATTTTTGGCAGGTTCTCAGGTGCTGATGTTCTGGGCACTATATTTGAGATGCAGCCCCAAAAGGTAACTTGCTTTGCAACTGCTGATTAGAATCGTGATGAGACAGCTTATATTAAAAAATGAATTGTAAACACCCATCTCTAGTGATTAGAAGGAGAAAGCTGGCTGGGTAGAGCTTCCCTGTTAGACAATGTGAAAAGTAGTTACTTCCTGGAGAAAGTAGATGATTCTATCTGCTACCTTATAGTTAATAAACTGAGATGACAGATCAAGAAAGAACCAGAAATATACACATACAGATTTTATTGACAATTTCACTTGCTTGAAAGACTTCTTGGCTGGGCCAGCATATAAGACAAAATAATGTGCAAATGATGACAGATGTCTTTACCCTATATTCTTTTCTGTTTGGGATCAAAGCTTGTTTAGAGACTCATAGCATCATCCCAAGTACAAATCTCTTGCCCTCCCAGTATGGCTGTCAAAAAGAATGACTCAGGTCACCTGCTCCTGTGCAAAGAACCAACCCCCATAAGAGTGCCTTATGGGAAGGCACTCTTCCCATAAGGTGACACAGCCACACCTCTCAAGGTACTCCTGAGGGCAGAGCAGTAACACTAGGAATTTGCCCTAAGTATCTTACAGTTCAACAGAGGAGCTTCAGGGTTGCTGAAAGTGTCTCATCAATTTTACTTTTATATATTTTTTTTACTATTTACCTATGTGACCAAAATATTTAATCCTGTAAAATTGAAACAATGAAATATACCCATAAAGGCTGTGTCTGCCATATGCAACCTTACTTCAAATCTTTGATCCTCGAACTTACGTGATTATTCTGATTATAAATGCTATACTGTACGTTTCAATTTATATAAAACTCTACTTTTTTTCCTATATTGCGGTTTCACATGAGATTTTTCTTTTCATTTTTCTTTCTTTGTTTTTGAGACAAGGTCTTGGCTCTGTTGCCCAGGCTGGTACTATCATAACATTGCAGATTGACCTCTTGGACTAAGGTGATACACCTCAACCTCCCAAGTAGCTGGGACCACAGACTTGTGCTACCACGCGTGGCTAATTTCTAAAATTTTTTTGCAGAGATGGGGGTCTCGCCATGTTGCCCAGGCTGGTCTCGAACTTCTGGGCTCAAGCAATCCTTCCACCTTGGCCTCCAAAAATGTGAAGATTACAGACATGAGCTACTGCACCTGGTCAATTTTTTTCCCAGCTGTTTAAGAAAACTGTGAAATCATTAGAGAAAAAGCAAATAAAGCTTCAATGACTAATTGCTCAAAAATGCTCTGAGCCTGTTGGGATGCTATGTCCAGGGTCTCTATTTCCATCTCATCACACCATCAACCATACATGCCCTTAAGTCCTTTTTATTTTATTTTTTGAGATGGAATTTCGCTCTTGTTACCCAGGCTGGAGTGCAATGGCGTGATCTCGGCTCACCGAAACCTCCGCCTCCTGGGTTCAGGCAATTCTCCTGCCTCAGCCTCCTGAGTAGCTGGAATTACAGGCACGTGCCACCATGCTAATTTTTTTGTATTTTTAGTAGAGACAGGGTTTCACCCTTAAGTCCTTTTAACCCTTATATTCTGGGACCAAGCGCAGTGGCACAGGCCTGTAATCCCGACACTTTGGGAAGCTGAGACGCATGAATCACCTAAGGTTGAAAGTTCAAGACCAGCCTGACCAACATGGAGAAACCCCGTCTCTACTAAAAATACAAAACAATTAGCTGGGCATGGTGGCGTGTGCCTTTAATCCCAGCTACTCAGGAGGCTGAGGTGGGAGAATTGCTTGAACCCAGGAGGCGGAGTTGAAGTGAGCTGAGACTGAGCCATTGCACTCCAGCCTGGTGACAGAATGAGACCCCATCTCAAAAGAAAACAACAACAACAAAACACCTTATATTCCTTGGTTATTATGGCTATGACGCTAATTATTCTAGAAAAAGGACATTAAAAAGACACCAATCTAGAAGCTGACCACTTTCCTCAAGAGATCGTCTTAAAGCTATCATGATCATCTTCTGTGACCAGCAAGGACTGTGCCCCTAGGACTAATGGCCACCCGGATAATCTGTTCTAAAGATTATAAATGATAGGCTAGAAAGGGCGAAGCAAATAACTGTTCTACCCACTAATAATTCCTATCAGGATTTTTCCCCCCATGGGTAAATAGCTCTTTTTTCTAATAAAAAGGAAATTGCAGAGATGAAAGAAAAATCAAGTTAAAGAATACTGAACGAATCTAAATAAAAACCCATTTTGTACTACTCAAAGTGATCTACAGATTCAGCGTAATCCCTGTCAAAACACTGATGACATTCCTCACAGAAAAGGAAAAACACTAAAATTTGTCTGGAACCACAAAACACCCTGAATAGCTAGTAACCCTGAAAAAAAGAATAAAAGCTATAGGTATCACACTACCTGATTTTATAATTTTCTTTTTTTTAAAGACAGGGTCTCACTCTGTCACCTAGGCCTGAGTGCAGTGACATGACTGTGGCTCACTGAAGTTTTGACCTCCTGGGCCCAAGTGATCCTCCCACCTCAGCCTCCTGAGTAGCTTAAGACTACAGGTGCACACCAGCACGTGTGGCTAATTTTTGCCATGTTGCCCAAACTGGTATCGAACTCTTGGGCTTGGCTTCCCAAATTGCTGGGATTATAGGTATGAGCCACTATGCTCAGCCCACACTACCTGATTTAAAAAATTTTTAACTGCTTATCCTTCATAGAAGCCATCGCGTTAATAGGAACTAGCATAAAGATCATGCAGTCCACTGTGAAAAGCTTGCTCAGAACTTCTAAATGATATTAATTTGCATTCAGAATGTCTAGCCTCCAGGGATCTCATAAAACCTGAACTAAAGTATGTCATCTGTAACAAGGAGGAAAGAATACCACAAAAGCTCTTGTGGGGGCTGAAATTCCATGTAAAGAGTGGTATCTACTGTGCAGTAACACCTAGGGCAGTATCTTATTCATGATTTTTATATTCATTAAGGGAAAAAAGGAACCTACATACTCAAACTACTCATGTGTAACAACACATGTTATTTACCAAGCAACTTAAGCTGGTTAAGTCTAATGGTAGGTGAATTCATTTTAGAAGCAACTGAGGGAATGAATTAAATTTGAATTTTTTCAAATGAAGAGAATAACATAAGAAAAACCCAAAGCCTTGGAGACATGAAACTCTGATGCATTACAATTTATAAAGATAAGGACAAATGGAAGTTTTAATTGCACCTGGAACTAACAGTAGGCAGTAAGATTCAGTTTGCACTAGTCCCTTACTGGACTGCTTTTAAAAAAATGGACTAAGAGATCAACACCTTCCAGATCCACTGTGCCATTCATAAGGTTATCTTTTTCGGCAGGAAATTCAAATACTAAATGCAAATACATTTTTTTTTTTTTTTTTGCTAAAATAAAACATCACTGTTAATAAAAATAGGTGAGAAAATGCTCTTTTCCCTCTTCTCCTTTTTGAGACAGAGTCTCACATGCTCTGTTACTCAGGCTGGAGTGTGGTGACACCATCATAGCTCACTGCAACCTTGAACTCTTGGGCTCAAGTAATCCTCCCATGTAGCTGGGACTACAGGCAGGCACATGCCACCAGGCATGGCTAATTTTTTGTAGAGATGGGGTTTCACCATGTTGCCCAGGCTGGCCGCGAACTCCTGGGCTCCAGCAATCCTCCCACCTTGGCCTCCTAAAGTGCTGGGATTACCCAGGAGCCACTGTGCGTGGCCAAGTTTAATTAAATATGTAAATTAGGGGAAAAGCTCACCACCCCCCTTCTCTTTTGGAAAATATGGGAAGGCTCCAGAGCTGTCTCAAGTCTGAAGCAGCAATTTTTACAGTCTGAGTCTACCCAGCCGGGCCAAAAGACTCTGAATGGTCTAGGTTAACGGCCTCCTCTCAATCAACTTGGCTATCAGAATGATCCTTTGAGAAATCTGTTCCCATTCTCTGGATACCGATGTCTGAAGGCCATAAATGGCAGGCAGGCCCAACTTATTTTAAATAATTTTTCCTTTAGGGCTACATGATTGCAATTTATTAAATGTAATTCAAATAACAGAGTTAGAAAATAGTCATAAAGGAAAATACATGGCAGATCTTGACCAGCAAAATATCAGACAGGTTACAAGTCGAATAGACTTAAGTCTGTGTTCAGGAACCTTCACTCCTCTTAAATCAAGCAGACTGCTTGTGGGAGGTTCTCCGATTCCAACTATAAAACGCTTTGGCAAATACGAGAAATAACTAAACATGGATCAAATGAATCCATTTGCCCGACCCCTACCCCCAGTCTTCTTTCCCTTTATTCCCAATTCCCGCCCTCTCATGTGTTCTCAAACACTAAAGGGACTTTGAGTGCCATTTTCTAAATAAAAATTCTCATGATCTTGACTGCATCCTAATGAACCTCAAGGAGTGATAATTCAGTGAAGAAACTCAACTGCTTTTACGTAATTGTTATTCGAAATACAGGTTGGTGGTATCCTAGGATTTTTAATCCCATGTAAGCATAATCCTGGGAAACTGAATTATGCTTAAATTCTTGAAGGCAAGAAAAATTTCCAAGAAAAACAAAAAGGAAATTTTGTTTCTGAAAAAGCTGATACCCTCTCTAAGCCATGCTGCCCCTTCTGGGGTCAAAATTCTGTCAGTAGCCTTGTGGCATTGCAGCCCACAGTAAAGGCAGAGTCCAAAACTATTTCTAACTGTTGTGGTCTTCTCTAGTATTCACAATGTCCCCATCCTAGATTCCGAGCTGTTTCTGATCAAGTGAAAATAAGTAAGCTTACCTAACATCTCTTCTTTTAGTCTTTCATTACGTTCTTCAATTTGCTTAGGCAATCTCTGAGGAAAAGAGGAGAAACAAGGGTTGGTTACAAAAAAAAATCCTTTGACTTTATTTTGAATTTGAGAAACATGAGAATCCTAATACGGAAATAAGATCAAGTTGAGTATATGTCTATGATCCTATTAAATAAAGAAAAAAAAAAAGAAACCCAAGCATTTGTGTTTGTGGGTGAGCTACATAAAGACAAAAGTTCTGTTTGGGTCAGGTGCAATGACTTCTGTAATCTCAGCACTTTTGGAGGTTGAGTTGGGAGGATCGCTCAGCTCAGGAGTTTGAGACCACCTTGGGCAACATGGTGAAACACCATCTCTACAAGAAATGCAAAAATCAGCCGGGTGTGGTGGTATGTGTCTGTAGTCGCAGCTACTCAGGAGGCTGAGATGGGAAGGCTGGTTGAATCTGGGAGGCTGAGGGTGCAGTGAGCTATGACTGTGCCACTGCTCTCCAGCCTGGGTGACAGAGACCCTGTCTTAAACAACAAAAAAGTTTTGTTTGGCTCTATTTCCGATCTCAACAGAATGCCTACACTAAAGAAGGACACTGATACAAATTTAACAAATAAATCCATACAGAAAAAGTCTGAAAGGATACATATCAGATGTTTACAGTGTTATATTTAGATGGTGGGATTATGAATATTTGTATTTTTAACTTTTTAAAATTAATTTTTATTTTCTAAGTTGAAGTCCCTTCTTTATACAATCTAATTTGTTGAGAAAAGGTCCTATCAATCTTGGATGTTCTTTTTCTTTTTTTCGTTTAGAGATGGGGGTCTCACTGTGTTGCCCAGGCCGGCCTTGAACTCCTAGGCTCAAGTGATCCTCCTGCCTCAGCCTCGCAAAGTGATAGGATTACAGGTGTGAGCCATGTGCCTGGCTGTATGTTCTTCAATAATCATCTAGCTCAGGGTTTCTCAACCCTGGCACCTCTGACATGTTGGATGGACAACTCTTCGTTGTGGGGTCTCCCTGTGCATTGTGGGATTTTTAGCAGCATCCCTTATGTATACTCACTAGACTGCAGTAGGACTTTCCCAGTCACGACAATCAAAATGTCTGCAGACACTGCCAGATGTTCCTGAGAAGTGCCCCAGTTGAGAACTACTGACAGAGATTAGTCTTTTTTTGTTTGTTTTTAAGAGACAGGGCCTTAAGCTGTCGCCCATAATGGAATGCAGTAATGCAATCACAGCTTACTGTAGCTGTGAGCCCAACTCGTGGGCTCAGTGATCTCTGTTGCCCAGGCTGAAGTGCAGTGGTACAATCTTAGCTCACTGCAACCTCTGCCTTCTGGGTTCAAGCAATTCTCCTGCCTTGGCCTCCCGAGTAGCAAGGATTACAGGTGTGTACCACCACCCTGGCTAATTTTTTGTATTTTTAGAAGAAGTGGGTTTTGTTGTGTTTGCCAGGCAGGTCTCAAACTCCTGGTCTCAAGTGATCTCCCCGACGCGACCTCCTGAAGTGCTGGGATTACAGGCATGAGCTGTTGTGCCTGGCCTCCCATATGTCTTGATAAGCTCCTCAAAAGCACAGAAATGAATGTGTCTGAAAGGATTATTTAGGATTTACTTAGCAACACAGGGAATAGAAGAAAAAATATTAAGAAAAATTTTAGGTTTTACCATACAAGCTTCTCTTGCTTGATGTATTGATGGATCCTTTTCTAATATAGATTTATAGTCTTCCAGGGCTTCGTCCAGCTTGTCCGTCTTCTCATACAGTTCTGCTCTCCTCAATATTGCCCTGATATAGTTCGGGTTTAACCGAATTGCTGTAAAAAGAGAAGAAATAATTTTTATCACAAAGAAAAAGGGCCTACACATCTTTGGCTATATCAAATTCCTTCATCAGTCATCCTCCAAGGGTACAAAAAGAAGAGTCATTTGTCAAAGTGAATACCTGACACTGGAAAACTTTTTCTGTAAAGAGGAAGACAGTAAAGATTGTAGGCTTTGCGGGTCAGACAGACCATCTGTGTTGCAACTCCTCAATGATGCTATTACAGCATGAGAGCAGGCACAGAAAATATATAAACAAACAAGGGTGGCTGTGTTCCAATAAACTATTTATGGACACTAAAATCTGAGTTCACATAATTTTCACATTATCATGAAATATTTTTCTTTTGCTTTCCAATGATTTAAAACTGTAAAAATAATTCTTAGCTTTTAGGCTATCAAAAACAGGTGGCAGGCTGGAATGGCTTGTAGCTGTAGTTTGCCATATACTGGTTTATACCCCAAGTCCTGGTTTTTGCCCACTTGTCATTTATCCAGGCAAGAACAGGCCAGAACACAGAGTTCAAGAGCACAGTGAAAGAGTGAGAGAGAATCTGAAGATACAAATTAGAGTTAAGGGAAACTAGTCTGGTGGCAGACTTCACCATCCTTTTTCTTCTAGCTCTTGAATACTAAGATTACGTTTCTAGTTAAATCCTCACTGTTTCTTCAACCCTTAAACTATTGCTCCAGCACTATGAGGTGGTTCATGCATAAAATCCTTTCCTTTATCCAACATGAGTTGCCCTTGAAATAATCCTTTGCTATGTTTTGGTTCAACATACTGCATTTCTTCTAATTTCATCCGAATTGTTTCTTTTTCTATCAGAAAGCAATGCTGACCAGGTGTGGTGACTTATGTCTGTAATCCCAATACTTTGGAAAGCCAAGGCAGGAAGATCACTTGAGGTCAGGACTTTGAGATGGCCAGTCTAGCCAACATGGTGAAACCCCATCTCTACTAAAAATACAAATATTAGCTGGGCGTGGCAGTGTGAGCCTGTAATCCCAGCTTTTCAGGTGACTTACATATCAGAATCACTTGAGCCCAGGAGGTAGAAGTTGTGGTGAGTGGATATTGCACTCCAGTCTGGGCAAGAGTGATAAAATGATCTCCAAAAAAAAAAAAAAAAAAAAAAAAAGGGCAAGGTCTTGGCTCTAAGACTTTTTAATCTTCTCATAATCTATCCTTAATTTTTAAATTCATGCTTTCTGTGAACATTTATTTAATACTTTATATATATATCCAATGTAGTATATCTCTGGGCTATAGAGGTAAACAAGACACAGTCCTTGTTCTCATGAAGCCTTATGCTATTCTAGTAGGAAAGAGTAAACAGGTATATAATTGAAGATAGTCATAGTACTATAATGAAAAATAAAACAAGGCCATGTAAATGCAAGTGAAGTGAGAAATGAGGTAACTTCAGAAAGTGGTCTCAGAATAAGAAGAGGGACTATGTGAGAGAGATCAGCCATGTGAAAGGCTAAGGAGGAGTGTGCCAGAAGAGGGACCACCAAGAGTAACTCTGGCATGTTAGTGACTAGACTGGGACCAGAGGTGGAAATGGAGGGCCATGCAGGGACTTCGTGGCCAGGGAAAGGAGTCTGGACTTTTTCCTGAGTGTGATGAGAAGCCACTGCAAAGTTTTCAAGCAAGCTTCAGACATACTCTGATTTACATTTTTGAAGGATTGCTTTGGCTGTAGTGTGGGGGTGGGTGGGGCAAGACTGAAAGCTGTGAGATCAGTTGGAAGCCAGTGTAGTGGTCCAGATGAGGGAAGATGTTGGCTTGGTCTAAGCTGGAAATAGTAGTGATGGAAAAATAGCAGCCAGATTAGATTAAGTAGGTCTTTAAATTTGAGCCCACAGAACTTGCTAATTAATTAATTAGCCATGTAGCATAAAAGAACAATCAGGGATGACTCCAAAGGTTAAACTTAAGCAAGGGAATGGATGGTAATACCATTTATTAGAATGGAAAAAAAGAACTGCAAGTTGTGTGTGTGTATGGGGGCTGGGCACGTTAAATATGAGGTGCCTACCAGACATCCAAAACAAAGAACAACTTGGCACTGGGATACAGGACTCTAGAATACAGGGCAGAAGTACAAGCTGAAGACAGAAACTCTGCCATACAGAAGCATGTATTTTAAAATTGATTAGTTTTGGCTTTTATCTTCATGAAAATATTCCTTTTGTTTCCCTTAATTGCATTTTTGTTACTCTAATTTCTTTTTCTTTTTTTTTTTTTGAGACCAAGTTTCACTCTGTCATCTGGTCTGGAGTGCAGTGGTGCAATTTCAGCTCACTGCAACCTCTGCCTGTCAGGTTCAAGCGATTCTCCTGCCTCAGCCTCCCAAGTAGCTGGACTACAGGCATGTGCTACCAGGCGTGGGCTAATTTTTGTATTTTTTGTAGAGATGGGGTTTCAGTATGCTTCCCAGGCTGGTCTTGAACTCCTGATTGAACATATGATTCTCCTGCTGCAGTCTTTCAAAATGCTGAAAGTGCAGGCACGAGCCAGCATGCCTGGACTCTACTACCTTGTTTTTTTTTTTTTTTAAGACAGAGTCTCCCTGTTACCCAGGCTGGAGTGCAGTGGCACAATCTTGGCTCACCGCAACCTCTGCCTCAGCCTCTCAAGTAGCTGGGATTACAGGTGCATGCCACCACGCCCAGCTAATTTTTGTATTTTTAGTAGAGACGGGGTTTCACCATGTTGGCCAGACCGGTCTCAAACTTCTCACCTCAGGTGATCTGCCCACCTCAGCCTCCCAAAATGCTAGGATTATAAGCATGAGCCACAGCACCCAGACTACTACATCTTTTAAAAGACGGAAACCTGTAACTTTATCTTAAGCAAGATACCACAATTTTCCAACTAGTGGATAGCTTCTAATTATGCAAATATGTGTTGAAGAGACAGAAGTTTCCCCATGATTATTATTATTTTTGAGATAGAATCTCATGCTGTCACCTAGGCTGGAGCACAGTGGCTCAATTTTGGCTCCCTGCAGCCTCAACCTCCCTAGGTTCAGGTGATTCTCCTACCTCAGCCTCTTGAGTAGCTGAGACCACAGGCATGTGTTACCATACCTGACTAATTTTTGTATTTCTTATAGAGACAAGATCTTGCCATGTTGCCCTGGCTGGTCTCGAACTCCTGAGCTCAAGCCATCTGCCCGCCTTGGCCTCCCAAAGTGCTGGGATTACAGGCATGAGCCATTGTGTCTGGCCCCACGATTACTTTATATAATCCTCTAAAACCAGCATAACACTCTAACATAATTTTCCTTCATAATATACATAAAGACAATGTGCCAGTCATGGTGACTCATGCCTGTAATCTCTCAGCAGTGTGAGAGGCTGAGGCAGGAGGATCACGTGAGCCCAGGAGTATGAGACCACCCTGGTCAACATAGGGAGACCCCCATTCTTTTTAGACAAAATAAAAAAAAGTAGCTGGGCATGGTGGTGTGCACCTGTAGTCCCAGCCACTTAGGAGACTGAGGTGAGAATGAACTTAAACTTTATGCCAAGGATGAAAACCCTGGAGCTCCAATATGACCTCAGAAATAAGCTAAGTTATTTGCCAAGGCTTATGAATTGAGAGAGAAGATTGAGAAGGGGGGGGGAGAGAGAGAGAGAGAGAGAGAGAGAGAGAGAGAGTGTGTGTGTGTGTGTGTGTGTAGGGTGGGGGTTGATGGGTGCTCTCAATACAGACAAACCATACTGATGTAAATTTAATTTGCCCATGAATACAATGCATATATCCATAATGACCATGTCTAACCACATAAATATTAGTTTAAGCAAGTCCAAAAACAAATCCGGAAAACACTTTGGTTGGAGAACACTTTCTTCTCCTTTCTCTCATTTTCTAGGCAAGGCTCCTACACTTTGGGCTGCAGCTGGAAGTAAACTGTTTCATATGGAAATGAACTATTTCTTACAATATACCATGCTAATCACGCTTACAAGGCATTTTTTTCACCATCTGGTTACAGAGAAACAGCTCTGAAAACCAGCAGCTTGTTCCTAATTTAAACTTCTCAAACCCACACATCCTCACATAAAGGAAATAGGTTAAATAACTTCTTTCAAACAAAACAGTACATTCAGAATTAGTTCCAGTCCAACTTGGTAACAGATCAAAAGTGGTTTTCTATATTATAATATAGAAACAGTTTCATTCAGATACTATAAGGAAATACCAAATATAAAGAAAAGAAAGCCAGTAGAGAGGGCACCAAATTAATTAGAGAAAAAATAGAAGTGTTAGAGGCATTTGAATCAGAGTAGCTCCATCTTGAATAGGGGCTGGGTAAAATAAGGCTGAGACCCACTGAGCTGCATTCCCAGGAGGTTAAGGCATTCTTAGTCACAGGATGAGACAGGAGGTTGGCACATGATACAGGTCACAAAGACCCTGCTGATAGAACAGGATGCAGTAAAGAGGCTGGTGAAAACCCACCAAAACCAAGATGGCAATGGGAGTGACCTCTGGTCACCCTCACGGCTCACTCTATGCTAATTATAATGCATTAACATGCTAAAAGACATTCCTACCAGCGCCATGATAGTTTACAAATGCCATAGCAACACTCGGAAGTTACCCCCTAAAAAGAGGAGGGGGCCTCAGTTCTGGGAAATCTCTGCCCCTTTCCTGAAAATCTCATGAATAATCTGCCCCTTATTTAGCATATAATCAAGAAATAACTAAAGGTTTACCTAATTGAGCAGCCCACACTGCTGCTCTGCCTATGGAGTAGCCATTCTTTTGGTTAGTTCTCTAATACACTTGCTTTTTCACTTTATGGACTTGCCCTGAATTATTTTCTTGTGAGGAGAGGTCCAAGAACCCTCTCTTGGATCTGGATCAGGACCCCTTTCTGGTAACAGCAGGGGAAATAGGTTACATGCTTAGTGTGAGAGGGGATCTAGAGAACAGATAAGGTTCTCTTCAACTCTGTAATTCTCCCAAAAACTATTATCCAAAGAAGAAAAACTGAAAAAATATAAAACTCAGTGATTTGCTAGAAAACCTTCTGAGACTGAGATGCAAGAAAAAGTGATGATGTGTATTCTCCACATGAAGTTGGTTCGAAAGGCAAGACACCTGACTGGCCTATCAGGCAGTTTTTGAAAACAAAAACAAAAACCACAATACAATTGTAGCAATCCCATGTCTGAGGTATCTCTAACACGTTGGTGGGATGACAAGACCTTAAGAGAACTTAGATATCATATAGCAAAGGCTTGATCCATTGTGTAGAATCTGAAAGGGTAAAAAAAATGATGGGAGGTAGGTTGGAAGAATTACAACACCGGAAAAGACTATCAATTCACTAACAGAAATTGTCCCTCATCACAGTTGTCCCCCTTCTCAAAATACACAGATCCAAATGCTCTAATGGCAGCTGCGATCTTCAATTTGAATCTCAACAGAAAGTAATTAGGGACTACAGCAAGTAAATTCTATTCCATGAGTTCTGTTGCCAAGACAGCACTAAATTTTTCTTTTCTTTTGGTCACAGGGTCACTCTGTCACACAGGCTGGAGTACAGTGGCACAATCATGGCTCACCACAGCCTCAACCTCCTGGGCTCAGGTGATCCATCTCAGCCTCTCGAGTAGCTGGAACTACAGGTGGATGCCCCCACACCTGCCTAACTTTCGTATTTTTGGTAGAGACAGGGTTTTGCCACATTGCCCAGGCTGGAGGACTGAATTTTTCTTCACGTAAAGACCAGTATAGGAGAAACTGATTGAATTATTCATTCAAAAGCACAGTTATTCTAAGATGACTATTAAATATTATCTCTGAAAAGACAGAATTATAAAGCCACCTCTTGAAAGGCCCCAGAGGAAGGGTACACATGTACAATGCACACTGGACCCAAAGCCCCTCTCTGTCTGACATAATGCTCCTGTATTAACATGTAGTGAGATCAACAAGCCTGTACCTTTGCTGCAGTCATTGATGGCCATTTCTTTCTTGTCCTACAAGGAAAAACAGTATTAATATGTGTTGCCCTAGTTTTATCTTAATGGCCCAAAGGCACAATGACATTATCTGATCACTAACAACTGCTTATGAGATACAGAATGCTTTTCAAAGAAACTACATGAAAACCTGAGTGTTACTTCCAAGACAAAATTCAAAATTAACATGGGGATGGCTCTGATCTGAAAGCCTGGTGGTAACACATTATTCAAGTTGCTTCTTTCTAAAAGTGTCTTTAAAGATTGTTCTAAATGACCTATTACATTTACAAGACACTTTACATTACAAAGCTGACATTGAGAAACTCTGTGACCTAAAACAGGGCAAATGACTGGCATCTGAATAACTGAATTACCCTCCTCTCTCATACCCCAAAGCGGTATCTTTCAGAAAGTATATAGATGCTCCATCTACAGACACACAGTGTGTGGCTTGTCATGTAGTCTCAGATATAAACCTTAATTCATCTACTGATCAAACAAAAATATAAAACAGTTAATCAAACAAAATATGTAACTAATTGAACTTTCTGCATCTAGAAGCATGGCATAGCGGAAAGAACACTGGATGTCCAAGAACTGAATTCTGGTCCTGGCTCTGACAATAACCTGCTCTTTAACACGGGCCAAGCTACTTTCCTTCTCTAGGCCTCAGTTTGTCTCATCTAAAATAGGAGCAGGCTGAACTGGATGTTATATAAGATGCCTTGCAGCTCTAAAATGTCCATTTTCCTGAAATTAGGTGAAATTTTTATATTACAGAAATAAGTTATTTCAAATATGTGTTCAATATTCTCACAATGCCTGCTGTAGCAAATACTAAATATTTTGCAGAATATTTCAGAATACTAAATAAATTGCTTCAGGATTCAATCAAAAGCAGTTTCAGGGCCAGGTATGGCAGCTCATGCCTATAATCCTAGCATTTTAGGGGACCGAGGTGGGCGGATCACTAGAGGTCAGTAGTTCGAGACCAGCCTGGCCTACATGGTGAAATCCTGTCTCTACTAAGAATACAAAAATTAGCTGGGTGTGGTGGTGGGTACCTGTAAACCCAGCTACTTGGGAGGTTGAGGCAGGAGTACCACTTGCAACAAGGAATGGAGATTGCAGTGAGCCGAGATCACACACTGCACTCAAGCCAGGACAACAGAGCAAGACTCTGTCTCAGAAAAAAAAAAAGTTATAGGATGAGGAGTGATGACTTAATGAGTACGGGGTATACTTTTAGGATGTCCGTCATCTGGAACTAGATAGTGGTGTTGGATGTATAACACTGTGAAGGTATTTTAATCCACTGAATTGTATACAGACACATACTGCATAATGTTTCAGTCAATGATAGACTGCATATAAAACAGCAGTCCCACAGGAGTTTAATGGCAATGAAAAATTCCTATCACATAATGACATAGTAGCCATCGTAACATCATGGTATAACTTACTATTCAGGTGTTTGTGTGAAGCTATGGTAAACAAACCTACCACACTGCAAGTTACGTGCAAGTATAACATAGGCTGGGCGCAGTGGCTCATGCCTATAATCCCAGCACTTTGGATGGATCACCTGAGGTCAGGAGTTCAAGATCAGCCTGGCCAACATGATGAAAGCCCGTCTCTACTAAAACTACAAAAATTAGCCAGGCATGGTGGTGCATGCCTGTAGTCCCAGCTACTCAGGAGGCTGAGGCACGAGAATCACTTGAACCCAGGAGGCAGAGAGACAGCATTGAGCCAAGATCATGCCACTGTACTCCAGTCTGGGTGACAGCATGAGACTCCATCTCAAAAAAAAAAAAAAAAAAAGAAAGCGTAACACATACATACTTGATAATAAATGGCTGTTACTGGTTTATGTATTTACGATACAGTGTTTTTTGTTGTTAGATGCACTCCTTCTACTAAAAAAAGTTAACTGTCAAACAGCCTCAGGCAGGTCCTATAGAAAGCATTCTAGGCCGGGCATGGTGGCTCACGCCTATAATCCCAACACTTTGGGAGGCCAAGGCAGGTGGATCACGAGGTCAAGAGATCGAGACCATCCTGGTCAACATAGTGAAACCCGGTCTTTACTAAAAATACAAAAATTAGCTGGGCATGGTGGCGCGTGCCTGTAGTCCCAGTTACTCGGGAGGCTGAGGGAGGAGAATTGCTTGAACCCAGGAGGCAGAGGTTGCAGTGAGCCAAGATCGCGCCATTGCACTCCAGCCTGGGTAACAAGAGCGAAACGGTCTCAAAAAAAAAAAAAAAAGAAAGAAAGAAAGCATTCTAGAAGAGGGCATTGTTATAATAGGAGATGACAGGTTAAGTCGCCCTTGAAGACCTACCAGTGGCACTAGATGTGGAGGTGGAAGACAGTGATACTGCTGCTCCTGACCCTGTGTAGACCTAGGCTACTGTGTGTATTTGCATCTCAGTTTTCAACAAAAAAATTTAAAAAGTAAAAAAAAAAAATTTATTTTTATTTATTTTTTTGAGATGGAGTTTCGCTCTTTGTTGCCCAGGATGGAGTGCGGTTGCGTGATCTTAGCCTCCCAAGTAGCTGGGATTACAGGTGCCTGCCACCATGCCCGGCTAATTTTATTATTTTTAGTAAAGACGAGGTGTGACCATGTTGGCCAGGCTGGTCTCCAACTCCTGACTGACCTCAGGTGATTCGCCTGCTTTGGCCCCCCAAAGTGCTGGGATTACAGGCCATGAGTCACTAAGCCTGGCCCAAATCCAACTATCTAATTATGTACCATTATGGTATAAAATAAATATATTTGTACTCTTACCTATTCCACATTCACTTTGTTATACTAAAGGTTCTCAATCCTTTGAAATACACAATGCTTTTAAAAGTCTCCTGACACCCATTTTGCATTTAAGGGTACTTTTTCTTTTTTTTTTTGAGATGGAGCAGTGCTCTTGTTGCCCTGGCTGGAGTGCAATGGCACGATCTTGGCTCGCCAAAACCTCTGCCTCCCTGGTTCAAGTGATTCTCCTGCCTCAGCTTCCTGAGTAGCTGGGATTATAGGCCACCATGCCTGGCTAATTTTGTTTAGTAGAGACAGGTTTCTCCATGTTGGTCAGGCTGGTCTAGAACTCCTGACCTCAGGTGATTTAACCACCTCAGTCTCCCAAAGTGCTGGGATTAGAGATGCGAGCCACCACACCCAGCCTTAAGGGTACCTTTTATCCCAATGGTTCCACATTTCTCCTAGTGTCTATCCTTAAACAGAAAAATCAGAATCCCAGGAATAACCATTTTTATAGATGCTTTAAAGCCCAGAGTTTTCACCAGTGTTTCCCTGTGCCTTTGCATGTTTATATAGAATTCCGGTGGCCTAAAGCAACCATCTAGTTCTATTCTAGGGTATGTACTACTTGGCTCATTGTTTCATTAACCTGCCCTAGTTTAGCAAAAAATCTGCCACCCCTCTTCACTCAGCTACTTTAATGGGGAATGTTAACAGTAATCTGACTCAAATTTTTCAAAATATTTTCTATACTCCCTGTGGCCTTTACATCAGGGCAGGAAATAGGGAAGCAGCAATCTCTATGCTAGTTTTTGGAGAGAAACTATGGTATGAAAAGACTGCAAGTCCATGTGCTTTTTAAAAAGAAGATGTCAAAGATTCATACCTGCTTCATCCTTGCTGCAGCTCTATTTGAAAATAGAATCGACCTGTCCTTTTGGAAGCAGGATGGGCATATTTCGAGGGCTCGACTATAAGAACTTTCAGCTTCTGTATAATCTGAGGATGATAAGATAAAGAAAGAGTGGTCATTATGATTTTATTCCTTTTACTACATATTCCACAGGATCTCAGAGCAGTTTTCCGTTCATAGGATGAAGGTTTCGAGTTAAAAGATGGTCACCGTCTATCAAGTTTTGGGCAGTAAAAATAATTTCCTCCTTTCTTCTCTCTTTAAAGGAACAGTATTTGCTTGTGCCAATCTCACAGGCTGTGCTTGGTAAACTGACAGCTGAACATGCTGTCAGTGACAAGCCCTCAATACTCAGGAGTCCTGGCATTCCCTAAACGTTCAGTTTTCATTTGGCTGGGCAATTGAGAAAGGAGTTTTCATACGAGGTCAGAGAACTGGATAGATGAAAGAGATTAAACTGCGGGATCCATGGCCTGAGATAAAGAAAAAATTATACATGTTTGTTTTCATTAGAACTACTGTCCTTTCATATAGTCAACCTGGCTAAAACCACATCCATGAACTGTTTGAAGAGACATTTGATAGAGCTAAAAGCAACGATATAAAAATCAATATTTAAATCAAGACCTTAAAAGAGAAAACGATGATAAATTTATATATTCATTGTTACATGCATAATTATGGTCAGAATAATAACAGAAAATTGCCTATATACTCCTTTCTCAGGTTTGAAATATTTAATATTAACATACAAAAAATACGCTTTCAAAATTAGAAGCATTTGTTCTATTAGAAAAAAAATATTAATGATTACTAAACCAGGATATAAGAAAAAAAATTGAAAATCTGAAATCAGGTAATTAGGGTAACTTTTGGAAAACAAAAAAACCCTGAAAATAACTAAGGGAAAATGTTAACACTCTCAGATTTCTGAAGCATATACACTTTAAGATGTGACAGAAGACTTAAATGATCAGAGTGAACCCCACCAACTTATTCCTAAGCAAATGTAGGAACTGCAGAAGGACATGAAGAATCTCTCTTTACTTAAGGCATCCAAAGAAAATGGCACATGAAAGAGCAACCCTTCTGAAGCAGTTTGGAGAATTTAAAAAAACAAAAGAGGCCGGGCGCGGTGGCTCACGCCTATAATCCCAGCACTTTGGGAGGCCGAGGCAGGTAGATCACGAGGTCAAGAGATTGAGACCATCCTGGTCAACAAGGTGAAACCCCATCTTTACTAAAAATACAAAAATTAGCTGGGCATGGTGGTGCGCGCCTGTAGTTCCAGCTACTCGGGAGGCTGAGGCAGGAGAATTGCTTGAACCCAGAAGGCAGAGGTTGCAGTGAGCCGAGATTGTGCCATTGCACTCCAGTCTGGGTAACAACAGCAAAATTCCATCTCAAAAAAATAAAAAAATAAAAGAAGGCCGGGCACAGTGGCTAACATCTGTAATCCCAGAACTTCAGGAGGTTGAGGCAGGTGGATCACAAAGTCAGGGAGGGGATCGAGACCATCCTGGCCAACATGGTGAAACCATCTCTACTAAAAATACAAAAATTAGCTGGGCATGGTGGCCCATGCCTGTAATCCCAGCTATTCAGGAGGCTGAGGCAGGAGAATCACCTGAACCAGGAAGTCAGAGGTGGCAGTGAGCCGAGAATGGCCACCGCATTCCAGCCTGGTGATAGAGCGAGACTCTGTTTCAAAAAAAAAGAAACAACAACCAAAAGACAGGCAACCCTAGGCCATACCAGAGCAGTCAGGCCTGCTTTTATAGTACCACAGCCAGCGAGGAGTCGGGACCGTGGTTTTTAAAGCAATGCAGCACATATCCTTTTGACATTACAGATTAGTATTTTCCAAAGCAAGAGCTGAAGAGTTTTACCCCTGATTCTAGATTAACAGATAGTGAATTACAGAAAGACTATGCATGTGCCAAGAGACAAATGGTAACTTGTCACCATCAGATGAATAATTTGGCCTAGTAAAAAACCCAAAATGCCAAGGTACTGGGAAGCAACACTGTATTGTGAAGTCTGGTTTTGCTAGTTGCTTCCAAATGTTTGTTGGGGTTTCTTCACAGACTCTACAACAGGATAAGGTATCAAGATGACCAGATTATCAGTGCTGAAAGTTATCTTACCTCCTTTCTTAAACTGTTCGTTTCCCTCCTCCTTTAGTCTAATGCTCTCTTCTCTTCTTTTCTGAAAGAGATCAGAGAATTACATAATTTCTCACAATATTATTGTAAGTGAACAAAAAGATCAGCTTTCTTTACACACAAAGTCCAATTTAAAAGGCAATAGTCTGACTTTTAAGAACTGGATCAGTTTCATCTAAACCTTGCACAGTGACAGAGAAAAAACACAACCATTGGGCTAATTATCAATTGTATTCTTGATGTTTAAAACAAAGAACAGTTTTCTTGGCATGTCCTTTGCTTTCTATGTTTCTTCTATCTTTTGCATGGAATGATAATTCTATTATCACTTAATATCTACTGGGCCGGGCCCGGTGGCTCACGCCTGTAATCCCAGCACTTTGGGAGGCCGAGGTGGGTGGATCACAAGGTCAAGAGATCGAGACCATCCTGGTCAACATGGTGAAACCCCGTCTTTACTAAAAATACAAAAAATTAGCTGGGCACGGTGGCGCATGCCTGTAATCCCAGCTACTCGGGAGGCTGAGGCAGGAGAATTGCCTGAACCCAGGAGGCGGAGGTTGCGGTGAGCCGAGATCGCGCCATTGCACTCCAGCCTGGGTAACAAGAGTGAAACTCCGTCTCAAAAAAAAAAAAAAAACCAAAAAGAAATCTACTTACTCAGAAATGAAACTAAATAACATACCCACTGGTGTGTATACCAGTGTAAATTCAAATTTTAGCTTCTACTACTTACTAGTTATGTGACTTTGGACAAGTTTCAGGATCTTCCTAAGCCTCAGGCTCTTCATTTCAAAACTGAAGCTTTAATAGTTTTATGGACTACTGTTTAATGGATTAATATAATAATATATGTAAAGCTGCCCATACAGTGACTAGTAAATAAAGGCTCAATAAATAACCTATTATTTTCCGTGAAATGAGTACTTCAATTCTTATAGCTATAAGAACACTTCATGGTTTGTGTCATGAAGGAGACACAGTATGCCGGGAGAGCACATTCATGGGGACAAACCATGTCTGCAGGGTCAGGCCAGTATGCCGTTAGCAGGTTAACACATGAAAATGTGAAGAAACCTAAATAAATATGTCTTTCTTTTCTTAGCTTCTTCAAACAACTCAGAAACTTGCACAGATGGTCAAAAACTCACCAAACACAAAGGATGAGAGAATGTTATTCTGCAAAGCAAAGCAGACACGTGCTGAGTGTGTGCACTTTCTTCTGGAACATCTTAACAATATTAATTGACACAAGCCAAACTAGCAGAACAATCTGTCTGCCTGACACCTTTTCAGTGTTTTAAAACAAAAACAACAGAAAACCCCAAAACAGAGAATACCCCAAAGTTCCTTTCTTTCTTTTTCTTGAGGGGGAGGGTGGCTTTCTTCCTTCTTGAAGCTTCTGATACAGTAATTTCAAAGGGAGGAAATAAATTAGCAGCGAATTTCATACACAGGAGAAGCCTGGAATCTAAGCAATTGGTCCTTTTAACATTAGAAACTGATATGGTCTGTGTCCCTATCTAACTCTCCCCATGGGTCAAGGGAGGGACTTGGTGAGAGGTGACTGAATCGTGGGGGCAGTTCCCCCATGCTGTTCTCATGACAGTGAGTTCACTCTCACCAGAGCTGATGGTTTTCGAAAGTGCCACACTTTAAAACAATCGGCTTCCCCTTCACTTTCTGCCATGATTGTAAGTTTCCTGAGGCCTCTGGAGCCATGTGGAACTGTGAGTCAATTAAACCTCTTTTGTTTATAGATCACCCAGTCTTAGGCAATTCTTTTTTTTTTTTTTTTTTTTTGAGACAGACAGTCTTGCTCTTGTTGCCCAGGCTGAAGTGCAATGGTGTGATCTTGGCTCACTGCAACCTCCGCCTCCCGGGTTCAAGCAGATTCTCCTGCCTCAGCCTCCTGAGTAGCTGGGATTACAGGCATGTGCCACCATGCCCAGCCAATTTTTGTATTTTTAGTAGAGATGGGGTTTCTCCATATTGGACAGGTTGGTCTCAAACTCTTGACCTCAGGTGATCCACCCACCCTGGACTCCTAAAGTGCTGGGATTACAGGTGTGAGTCATCACGCCTGGTCACAGGCAATTCTTAACAGCAGTGTGAAAATGGACTAATATAGAAACCAAAGTAAAAATATTCTTTCTCTGGAAAAGAGTTGTCAATATTCTATTGATGAGACCAGGGTATTTCCCAAATGTCTTATTATTACACTGTGGATTAAACAGAGCACTTAATTTTTTTTTTTTTTTTTTTAGAATCTCAATAAAGAAACTAAAAGGTAAGTACTATGTGCCAGACACACAGCAGGTACAAGTAACAATTCATTTTAAGATATAACATATCTGAGGGAATAGCTATTCTAAAGGAATTCAGAAAAAATAAAACATAAGAATATGGCCATATTTACGTAGTACTACCCATGAGAAAGATGCTTGGATTGTAATGATCTCTGCTGTATTGATTATGGTTACTGGATGCAAGCAAAAGGCTATCTTAAGCAAAACATTTTAGGGGGCAGGTTTACTAGAAAGATATCAGTGCTCACAGAATCAGTGGCAGGCTTTAAGGATAGGCTTAGAAAGCAGGTAGAACTTGGCTAGGTGCTGTGGCTCAGACCTGTAATTCCAGCACTTTGGGAGGCTGAGACGGGCAGATCATGAAGTCAAGAGATCAAGACCATCCTGGCTAACAGAGTAAAACCCCATCTCTACTAAGAACACACACAAAACTAGCTGGGTGTGCTGGCGTGTGCCTGTAGTCCCAGCTACTCAGGAGGCTGAGGATGGAAATTGCTTGAACCCAGGAGGCAGAGGTTGCAGTGAGCCGATATCATGCCACTGCACTCCAGCCTGGTGACAGAGCAAGATTCCGTCTCAAGAAAAGAAAAGAAAAGAAAAGAAAAGAAAAGAAAAGAAAAGAAAAGAAAAGAAAAGAAAAGAAAAAAACAAGCAAGCAGGTAGAACTCAAGGACACTCTGTTAAGAAGAATGCTTGAGTGTCTTTCAGTGAAAGAATTGCCAGAACAGGGCTGCAATGATAGCAAATAAACTCCAACCATTACATTATCTTTGCTTCATTCAATCTAGATTCAAGGTCTTGGTCAGAAGCATCTAATATACCAAGCACAGATCACAAGCCTTGGTTGTCAGAGGATGAAGTGAGAGACATGGGGTACTGCCACTCAACAAGATTATAACACAAGAGAATTCCTTCAAATAGGAAGGGGTGTTGGAAACCAAGACAACATAACAAATTCAGTTAACAGTTGTTTTAAAAACACATTCTTTAGAGAGGGGTTAACTCATCAAGTTACTAAAGTTTAATGCCCATCCTTTAGGAATTTCAATTTCTTTAGCATTAACTGTAAATCTCAAGCTACTCTCTGATCTATAATCTTCTCTTCAGAGCCAACTCATTAGGAATGTTCTGTGAACACAGATGAATCACTCAGACTGCCAGATCGGGCTCTTGTAAAGTAAGCGTGTGTCTGTGTTCGTGTTTTAAGAGACTAATCATTCTTTGGTAAATGTATAACATCAAGTTCCCAATGGGCAAAGTCAAGACTCAAGTATCCAGAAAGGAATTGGTGATAAGGGCCAGCCTGAGCAGCCAGCTCTAGAAATACTTTATTTTCAGAGACAGGATCTCCTTCTGTTGCCCAGGCTGGAGTGCAGTGGCACCATAAGAGTGTACTGTAACCTTGAACTCCTGGGCTCAAGCGATCCTTCTGAGTAGCTGGGACTATAAGCACCACCATTCCCAGGTAATTGTTTTCTATTTTTAGTAGAGATGGGGTCTTACTGTATTGGCCAGGCTAGTCTTAAACTCCTGGGCTCAAGCAATCTTCTCACCTCAGCCTCCCAGTGTGATGGGATTATAGGTGTGAGCCAGTGTGCCCAGCACTCATCTTGCCTTTATAACTTGAAGGACTGAAAGTTGAACTAGCAAAGCAAAAGGCTCTAGAATGTAATTCTGAGGCTAATTATTCTTTTTTTTTTTTTTGAGACAGAGTCTCACTCCATCACCCAGTCTGGGGTGCAGCAGTGTGATCTTGGCTCATTGCAACCTCTGCCTCTCAGGTTCAAGAGATTCTCATGCCTCAACTTCCTGAGTAACATGTGCCACCACACCCGGCTAATTCTTTTGTATTTTTAGTAGAGATGGGGGTTTCCCTATGCTGGTCAGGCTGGTCTTGAACTCCAGGCCTCAAGTGATCCGCCTGCCTCAGCCTCCCAAAGTTCTGGGATTACAGGTGTTAGCTGAGGCCAATTATTCTAAGTAAGGCATTCCATTGTTTGAACTTATAAATCACAACCCAGTGGCCCACTGAGTAGTAAACACTGAAAAAGAGCTGCCAATTCCTTCTCCACAGATTGTGCAAATTAAAGAGTAATGCAATTATCAGTATCATTCTGAACATCTCCTTGGAAACAGCTAAAAATAGCACATTGAGGAGAAAGTTGAACAATTTCCCAGCTGTGCTAAGACAGAACTGATGATCCCGGTACAAAGACTGGGATTTTTTTCTGCTTAATATATTCTTTCTCCAAAGGATGACAGGCATGTAGTACAATATTACTGGAATCCAAGGATAGATTATGATAGTGTATAGGTCTTCCTTAGTGTGCTAAGTGCCAGAAGCATTCATACATACATGAGCCGGGAGTGCTGATATTCTGCAGCACTATCAGGGGAAAATCTTTCCAGGTTCTGTTCTATGAACAGAAGCTTCTAATGTGGTTAGAGCCCTCACACACCTCCACAATGCCTTTTAACACATTCCAGAGAGGCCTCACAGGGAAACATCCGATCATGAATTTACTTCCATAAAAATGGAAACCAAGAAATTTTATAGGACTCTTACTCAGTATTCTTCTCCATCACTGAAAACTTAGGGGAAATAGTGACATTATCCTGCACTGTAAATCATCACAGGAATTGCCAAGGAAAGCCCCAACAGAATGCTCTCAATGAATGGAGTTTATCTGAACAGTTACTATCACAACTGTAAACTTCTCAACTTGGTATTCAA